ATTTTGATCATTAACCTATTCTGATCAAAATGCTATTGATATACAATTAACTTGATTTTTTACATTGATTTATTACTCAATAAACTCTAAAAAACTAACTGCTCAAATCATCAATATAAAATTCGGAGTGAATCCCACCGAAGTATAACCGTGGCTGTTGTGCAAACGGCACAATAGTGACCCATTTCCTTATTTACTCATTATAAAATTAAACTTACTTTTTTGCCTATTAAGGTAGGTTCCCACAATTATTAATTTGAGCGAATTATCTCTAATTCAACTCTATGATATAAAAAAAAAAACTCTAAAGAATAATTAAATAAAATTGATATTTTAAACTGAAATCAATGAAATGTCAATACATTAGAATATAAAAGTGAAATTAGCCAACAAATAAAAAAATACAAAAATTAGATATAGGTGGTGTTTGATAAAACGGAAATTTAAAATTAAAAATTAAGTACTGAATGTAAATTTTTTAAGTTAAAATATTGTTTGATAAAAAAATTAAGAGCTAAACTAAAACAAATTGTTTAATATGAACATGATAAAATTTGAAATTTATTATTTTTAATTTTTCTATTTTAATTTTTATGTTGTAGTGGTGAGGATAGGGGTAGGGTGGGGGTGGCGGGAGAGGCTATGGCAATGGTGGTGGTGGTGGTGGTGGTGGAAAAGTGATTGTGGTAATAGTGGAGGTGTAGTGGAGGAATAGGGGTGTTGGTTGTAGTTGTGGTGTCGGTTGCAGTTGTGGTGTCGTGGTGGTGGAGGTAGAGAGTTCTATTAATAATGGTGGTAATGGTAGTGGTGTGGTGATGGTTATTGTGAAATAATGGTGGTGCTTATGATGATGATGGCAATGGTGGTGGAAGTGTTAGTGTTAGTGTGGTGGTTATAAATTTAGTAAGCATCAAGCAAATGTTTAAATACTATTTTTTTTAAAAAAAAAGAAAGTTAGCCTATATTTTGAGGAGTCTTTTAAAGTTTTTAGGTGACTAACTTATTTGATTTTTATTTAATACAACAAATTTTAAGTTCTGAATTGAGTTATCAAATATTATTTTGGACTTATAATTTTAAAATCTAAATACAAAACACTTTTAAGCAAGACCCTAATTCATATGAGTATTGTTAATTTTTCCTAGGGCGTGATACGGTGTTGAGCCATATTCATGTTGTGTGGTTTTCGGTTAGGGTCGAAATTAATTCAACACTAACTCAACTTGTTTATTATTTAGTGTATCGTGTAGTATTATTTTGTTTATATCTAATTATGTCTTGTTAATGTGTCATATCAAAAAAATTCACCCTTAGTTAAAAATATTATTTATATTGAAAAATTAAAAAAAATTCTTCACAAGCTAAATTTTAATAAAAATGAAATTATTCATAAAAATATTCGATTGCAACTCAATTCCATTTCTCTATATCTTATTATTATTTTTATTATATTAATGTTAAAATAGTAGACAAAAAATACTATATTAAATTTAAAAAAACTAAATTAACCTTAGAATCTATTTTATATATTTTTTAATCAAATGAATAGAGCATAAGAAATTAAAAAATGTCATGCAAATAATATATTAAAATGTGTAATTAATTTTATTAAATGAACTATCAATATTATAACTTTGTTACATTGATTCAACATTAGTCTAATTTATTTAATATTCATGTTATTAGATCATGTCATATTTATGTTCATATTAAAAAAATAATCAAATCTTAACCTCTATGGTTTAAATTATGTTTTTAATGTTATATCGAAAACTCTCATCCTTTTTCTAAATTTTAAATCATGAAAAGTAAAAATAATAATAATAACAACAAGGGACATATTTTAGTCCAAATTATTTTCTAATGTTCCCAGAAGTCTGGTAGATGGCACGGCATAGTTACAAAAACACTCTTGTGAGTGTGAGGCACGTGTTGTGGGATTCAAAAACTTCCGAGATTATCAATGTGGCAAAAGTGCCGAAAATAGCAGTCCATCGTCTAAACATGACTTCACTTCATTTTGTCTCCAGTTTCATATCGTTCCATTGCCGGTGATCGAAATCACATCCTGTTGTGAATATTCACATCCACCTCTTGTGTTATCCTTGTCGAAGTTCACATTGAGACTGTTTGGGGAGTAAAATTTTAGCTTAATTTAGGTTAAAATTCGCAAAAAAACAAAGGATCCGTTTGGCAAGAGAGTTGGGGGCCAAATTAGCAATAACAAGATAAAATTGGCTAAATTAGCCACAACGCGACAAAAACGTTTCAGGATTGTATCTTACATACAAGGATGGGTGAAATTACGAAATTACCCCTGGGTCTTTGTTCACACTATCACGGCCTCGAAAAAACAAAAAGAACATTTGTCACGTAATGTATACAAAATCGTGAACTGAGCCACGTAAAAAAATAAAGTTAAAAATTAATGTACACAAAAAAAATTTACCAAATTAATGTACCAAAAAAAATTTACGTGACAAATTAATTTGCCAAAAAAATTAATTTACCAAAACAAATTTACCAAAAATCTTTTTTTACATTTGCCACGTAAAAAAAAAAGAACATTTACGAAATTAATGTATACAAAAATTTTTTTGACAAAACCATAAATTTAAAGTATACAAAAAAAAAATTGACAAAACCGTAAATTTAAAAAAAAGAACGACAAAAATACGGTTCATCCAAAAAATGGAAAATAAATTTTAGAAAATAGAAATGAGCATTTGCCACGTAATTTACAAATACATGAAACACGTGAAACCCCTTTTTTGAAATATAAATACAAATTAATGTATACAAAAAAATAAAATGACAAAAACGTAAATTAAAAAAAAAAAAGAACGACCAAAATACGGCTCATCCAAACAAAAATAAAAAAATTAAAACATAAAAACAGAAATTAGCATTTGCCACGTAATTTACAATTAAATAAAACACATGAAAACCCATTTTTAAAATATAAAAAAAATTAATGTGTACAAATAAAAAAATGACAAAAACGTAAATTAAAAAAAATAAGGACAAAAATATGCCTTATTCAAAAACATTTTAAAAAAAAAAACATAAAAACATAAATTACCATTCGCCACGTAATTTACAAATAAATAAAACACATAAAAACTCATTTTTGAAAAATAAAAGTTCTTGTATACCAATAAAAATAAATGAGGGAAAAAACGTAAATTAAATAACAAGAACTAATTAATTTATAAAAAAATAAAAATGACAAAAACATAAATTTCTTAAATAAAAAAAAACATCAAAATCCGCCAAATCCAAACCCAAAATTAAAAAAAAAATAAAAAATAAAATCCAAATTCGGTCCAAACGGAGGCTGATGTGGAGGACCACTTTCATTGCTTCACAAGTAAAAGTTGAACATGAAGGGCAGTTTGGTAATTTAACAGGAAGACACCTCACCAATAAGTCAAAAAATCAAAAAAATCAAAAAGTTCTTCCCAAACCAGACTTTTTAGCTCCAAGTTAAAATAGCCAAAAAAGTCAAAAAGCCAATCCACTTCCCAAACGGAGGTAAAATAAGCTAAAATAATTAATAAGACAAAATGTCACATCAAATCCATAATCATGTCATTTTTTTTCTCACAAACATCACATCCAACTACAAAAAAAATCTAATTATCTTCCTAAACACAAAAATTTTAACTTACTAAAATAGCCAAAAACTAAAATAACCTACTAAAATAGCAACTTCCCAAACACTCGCATACTTCACGCACTCTTGACTATTGTATGAACACTCTATTAAGCTTCAATGTGAATATTCACATCACAAATATTGTGTTGCCATTTGATTTGAACATCCCTCTAAGATTTTCTAACATATGATATTCTAAACAATGCGGAGATTCACATTAACAAATTTGAACAATCGTTATGGACAACAAAAGCCCTTCAATGTAAAACCTATTGTAGGAATGAAAAGATTCATATCATAGTGTCAATATTTCAAATCTTTTGATATTCTAACAATGTGGATATTCATATTAATGAGTTGGAAGAATCATCAATGGAGATTGCAAATGAAACACGATAACGAGTCCGACAGCAAAACCCTCGCAACATTGTATTGCCTCATTTAGAGGCTCGCTCAATGGGCCGCTATATATAGGGGTGTAAATCTGGCCCAACTCGGATCGAATCGGGCCGACCCATCTAGGCCTGGGGCCCAGCCCAGCCCATGTTGGGTCTTGTGGGCTCCTGCCAAAATTTGCGCCGGTCTACAGGCCAAAAAATTAGGTCTAGATCTAAGCTCAAGCCCAAGGGTATTTAGGCCTTGGACAGGCCGGTGCTCCAGGCCTCAAGTTGACTCGGTGGGCCTGGGTTTGGCCTCAGTCTTGGGCAGGTCTAACCATTTTTTTTTTTTTCTACCAAAATTTTATTATTTTCCACTAAAAAGACATTAGGCCTCGAGCAAGGCTAGGCCTTTAGTGGAGCTTAAGTGGGCCAATGGGTTGGGCCACGGGTCGGACCGAACTTCAAAAGGATGGCCCAAGCCCTAACCTAAGGGCTCAAACCCAGGCCCACCTCGGGCAACGGGCAAACTTCAGGCCACCTACAAGCCGCAGGCCATTTTTACACTCCTAACTGTATGCCACCGTCCTATTGCCATTGACAATCTCAGAGTTTGAGTGGTGGTGGTGGTGGTGTTTTGGATGAGCCACTAACTTCAAACTCTTATATGTATATATATATAGAGAGAGAGAGAGATTATTTACAATTCAACATGTTTTTGCTAGATTAAATCTCAAATATAAAAATTGAGATTTGGTGAATTAAATTTTCAAAATAATAAAATTTATTAAAATACAAGAAAGTCTATTGCACTTGTGGTACAAGTACATAAAAAATTATTATTATAGAAAAAATTATTATAAAAAAGTATTATTACTACTAAGTTCATTATCATAGAAAAACAAATAAAATTATTATTATTATTATTATTATAAATTATTTTGGTAAAAAACAAAATTTATAACAAATTCTATAAAAAGGGAAAATAAAATAAAAACAAAAATCCTCGAGTAATTTTTTTATTTTTTTCAATCAACAGAAGTAAATCTATCAGTTTGTTAACTAACAATTGCTCTCGCCAACGATCTAATACAGGTTTCTGTCTCTCCTCTCCATACGCAAATATATTTATAAGCACATTATGATGCATCCATAACATTCATTCACCAAAATGTATTAATTTTTTTTTGCGAAGAATATATGTATTTGAATGTAGATTGATGCGTTGAATGATATTATTGATCAGGTATTGAATTGTCGATTGTGGGTTTTGTGAGAGAAGCGAATTTGATATATATATATATATAGAATGATGGAATCAACAACAAGTCAGACAGAGTTTGATTATTTGTTCAAGTTGTTGATGATCGGAGACTCTGGTGTTGGCAAGAGCAGTCTTCTTCTCAGTTTCACATCCGACACCTTCGAAGATCTTTCTCCCACCATTGGTAATCGATCAATATTTCTCTATATTTATTATTGATAATACAATTTGTAATATTATTGTTTTATGTTAATTTGGTGTTTTAGAATATCATAACTTGAATCTCACAATTACTTTCACCAGACCCTGATTTTAGTTTCCTTAGGTTTCATAAGTTTTTGATTTTTTTTTTAATCTCTCTCTCTCTTTTTGCCTGCATTTGCTCAGAAGCCAAACATGGTAATTCTTGCTAGTTATTATTAATCTGATCATTAAAATGGCAACTTGATTTATCAAAAAGAAAAAAATGGCAACTTGGTTGCACAAAATTTTGACCATCCATAATTGATTTTTTCTCTCCTTGGTAGTTTATTTATCTGTTGCTTTGAAGAAATAAAATGGTATGTTAACACTTGGTGAAGCCGAGATGACATGACACAAACATGATCAACATGACATGATTCGCACACTTAAATTGCAGGTTAAATCAAATTTGAAAATTGTGTTTTTGAATATATAAAATATGGGTTATTCAGTAGGCCCAGTTGGGTTGTGGTTTTAGTTTTCTCACATTTCTAATATCTTGATTTCTTTTCTTCTTTTCCCATACATTTTGTTAGAAGCCAAACATGCAATTCTTTTTCCTCTGTATTAGTTATTTATTTGATGCTTTCTTTTTGAGAAATAAAATGGTAATACTCTGAAGTAGTCAGTTCGGGTTGGATTAGAACTAGAAAAACATTTGTTTTTGAATCTGAAACCAAAATAGTTGTTGTCCTTGACCAAATATTTGTTTTGATCGATAAACAATTTTAATTGTCGCAAAGGGCATATATTATTATTTGCTGCTAACACACCCAATGTTTTTGAAATACAAGAGTTTCATTCATTTTGTTTATTTATTTCGCATGGATGGATATGTAAGCATGTAGAGTCTCCCATACATAGTAGCTGCTTCTTGTTTATAAAAATCATTATTTGAATCCGTTAGTTTACTATTTTTCATGATCCAATTTACATCTCTTCTTTACACACAGGTGTTGATTTCAAGGTCAAATATGTCGTTGTTGGGGGTAAAAAATTGAAGCTTGCAATCTGGGATACAGGTAATGAAGCTGGTTTTCCTTTTGTGCTTGTTTCTATTCTTCTTTAAGGGAATAGATGTTTGTCCTTGTCCTTATTGTTGCCGGATTTTTTTAGTTGTCTGTAAAAGTTTTCTTTTCTTTTTTCATTTTGTTTTTCTTTTTTCTATAGGTTATGCTATCACTAAACGTTATGTTTTGTTGATATTTGACAATGTTGTAGAGGTCTTGATCAAAGTAATAATTTGTCAGCCATACTTGTAGATCACAAGGGGGTTGGTTGGGTTGATTCATAATTCCTATTTGTTATCTAAAATGTCATATGAAAATTTCCAGAAAGAAGATTTGGTGAAATTTGATTGAGAAAACATATGAATCCATCAAATTTTAGATTCATTTACAACTATATTTGACTAACCATTATTGCACAAAGCAATAGATAAATTAGATGAGATAGCGGTAAAGACCTGGGAATAAAATCTAATGTCTTGGGTTTGAGTCTCCCAAGGGGCCACTGAAGGTTTGCCCGTTAATTGTAGGGCCTCCAGGGATTAGTTCTTGTCTGTCCAGATATGAGGTAACTCAGGTCCCATTGGGATGTGCTTAGCGGGAGATACCTAAAGGGACGTTAACTATGTGAGGTTATAGTGAATTATCATATTTGTTGATGTCTTATGAATTCTTTGTGCATTTCCATTTCTTTTCTTTCAAATAATGAATTTAAATATGGCCTAGCATGTTCACTAAAAACAAATTTTGCAACTCTAGGACTTCCTTAATTAGTTGTCACTTGTTAAGATAATGATGCTGATGTTTCGTTTCTCCTTTAGATTTTTTAATTTTAGGAACCCTAAAGTCTAAAACCTTCAATTTGTTTGGGAGTAGAGCTTCTTAAAATAATGTGAGAATTTTCTGTTTACGCTTCTTTTCTACAATAAAGAATCTGGAAAATGTTTTCTAACTATTTTGAAGTAATAATATTTTAACAAGTGTAAAAATATAATTGCCATTATTTTCATGTATATATATAGAGTATATTTATATGTTATTGTGACTTCGCTGTGTTTGTGTCCTGAATGAATTTAAAAAATTGTCATATCAAGATGTATATCCTTATTGTACTTCAGGTTCAAGTTAAGCATTGGTTACTATGCAAACCAAAAATATTAATTATTTGTAAGGAGGTTGTTAAAAAGAGATATGAGAAGCAGATGCAAATGAAAGGCTTCGAAGATATGGTTTGACAGGCTAAAGAACAAGTATTTCTTGGAAATTTCATGCATTGTCTTTCAATTGCTGCATAGGAGCCCAGCAACTCAGAATCAACTTGGATGTTGGTGTTATTAAAATCAAATCGTGAATTACTAATCAATTTTGGTGAGGTTCTATGCGAGGGAAAAGAACCCAAGTCTCTCTACAATGGTATTTGGTGAAGCCTCTAATTTTTTAGGACTTGATTTTGGATGAAGTTGAGTTGGCTTGATGTGAAAAGCTTACATGCAATTCGATGCCATCATATCCCTTCTCAATAGTGTCTAAGCATTGGATTTATCTAGTTCACAAATGCAACAACACAAGGACTTTACTATATGATAATATTTCTTGATGTTTTCTTTTAATTTCTAGGGTTGAAAAAAAAATGTTTTTCTCACCAACATTGAGTGAAACAGATTTTTCGCTTGATTTGAAGCACCCATTCATCTAAGTAACATAACATGGGATTTACATACGTTACCTAGTAAGCTAAATTTATCAGATTTACTTGTTGGGTGCTAGACATGTCAAACACAATTTCCATAACTTTACCAAAGTGTCACATGAAAACAGGGTCTGCATCATACAGTCACATAATCTCTGTAAAATTCACATTATCTTTTGTCATGCAAATATATAGTAAATCTGTAACTCTCATCATCTTTTGCTTCTTAAATTCTAGTTAGAGTGTGCATTTATCTTTTACCTTAGAAATTTAGGCATAAGAATTGAAACAGACAAATTGGTTTGTTGCAGTAGATAAAATAGGATCATTGTAGGACATGGTTTCACTTTAAGTTTTCCACTTGTTGAATGACTGAAATTTTCAAATGCATGATTAACTATTCTGTGAGCCCAAAACATCAGAGGGATAAAAGCTTGTTTGGTGATGTAGTAGATAGTTACAAAAAGGATAAAAGAATTGTTTATTTTTTATTGAACCATTCTTTATAAGTGCATACCTAAGCATGTTGATCCGATTACAGGGTTTGGCTAAATGATGAAAGAAATTAGTCTCGTTGCTCATATGACAAAATCTTAACTAGACTACATATTGCAGTTTCATTGCTAATGAGAAACTTATTGGTCTGGAATGTCAATCTGAATGATTCCAATTAACATTGGTTGCTGAATGTTGTGTCATGCAGCTGGTCAGGAGAGATTCAGAACATTGACAAGCTCATACTACCGAGGAGCACAAGGGATCATTATGGGTAATTTTATTTTATTTTATTATTATTTTCTTGAAGAACATCCACTGCCTTTTAGACCAGTTGAGGGGAAATTGTGGATTAAAGCCTTGTTGAAATGCTATGAATTCCACTTTTGTAAGTAGCACATCTAATTGTAAAATTTTGAGAATATTTAATTTCATATACAAAGATGTAGAGAAGTGTAGGGGATTTTTGGTATGGAGATTTAAGTGGTTTATGACGAAGTAAATGAAATTGGATTGCTTTTCTCTGCTAACAAAGTGATGAACTACATGTCAAAACCAGGCTTCTATGAGATAATCAGTTAAACTTAAAAGCATATGCCAAAATGAGACTTTCCATAGTAGTTAGACTAATTGCTACGATGTAGTGGTTACTTTTATGAACCATTTTGGATGACATTTCATAGCCTCTTTTTCTTTTTAAATTTCCTTTGTGAAGAGTTTTTTAAAGCATTTTTTTGGTTATTGTTTGGTGTATATTTAGTCATCCTTACTTAACGAGGAACCTTGTTTCGGTTATGGGTTAGAAATGGGCATCAAACTCTGTTGGCAATGCATAAAAACAAATAAAATTTAAAGGAACTAAATGATATGTTTTAGTTGTAGTTGGTATATTTTATTATAACATAGAGAAGTTGAGCAAGTAAGTTCGGACATTAGCTGGACCTCCTTTACTGCAATCTGTGTATTCTCATTGTTGTGGACAGCAGTGGTTTTGAGAGTGTAATGCACGCTAATAATTGGCTTAAACCACCTTCCTGTCCAGATTACATGTCCCTTAATTGGGTGTCTTAGTGTTTTCTGTCAAGTACTTTTGATATTTGCTATAAAATATCACTATGTGAATTTGAACCTATTTTGCTGACTTGTGGACATCTTTGGGTAAATATGATTAAGGAATAGTCAGTTGCAAGAAACCTCTGATATGCTTAGCGTGGGCTTTGTTTTTTATTTCAATAACATTAAGCTTAAGCATAACTCCCTATTTTCTTTAGTTCAACAATTTTGGCGTTTATAATTGCAACAGTTTATGATGTGACACGTCGAGATACGTTTACTAATCTGTCTGAGGTATGGGGGAAGGAAATTGAGCTCTACTCAACTAATCAAGATTGCATCAAGATGCTTGTTGGAAACAAAGTTGATAAGGTATATCTTCGTAATAATTTACACGAAGCACTTCCTTCTTTTTTTCCCCTTGTACTGCTCAATGGATGGAATTTTCTAGAACTGAATTTGATCAGAAAGGGTACTCTTCTTTGCTCTTTTTGGCTAAAACTTAGAAATCCTATGTGAACAATTGGTGTGCAGAATTTACTCTCTCTCTCTCTCTCTCTCTCTCACACACACACACACACACACACACACACACGCACATACACACATTCACAGACATATTGACATTGACCGGATGTATGGATGCATGCACATATTTTTGTGCATGTCCACTTGTCAAATTTGTTGTAGATGGTTGTAGATTTGCTTATCTTTCTTGTCTAGATCAGTGACAGAGGTTCTGCATTGACAAGATCCTATCATCTATCAGAGGAAAGTGGCAGATTACAAAGGGGAGGGAAATTGGAGGAATGAGGTTCCTGAGGGCTGTAACCTATCCCCCTGAAATTCTTTTAAATTTTTCTTTTTTCTTGTGTTGAGCCAAGCTCTTCACTAGCAATTATTCAAGTCTTCTAATGTCAGGCCCATGAAATATGAATTACAACCATCATTTATAAAGTCTCAATCAGTATACCAGAAGAAATGTAACCAGTTGACTCTTTGTCCTCTAAATCTATAAAAGTATTACACTAATGATAGAATTTGGTAGGAATAAAATGGTTAGAACTGTTTAAGCATGCTGATTTTTTTTGTAAATGACCTGTTGAATGGTTTTCATCAGATGATGCATGTCAATTCTGTTCTTGATGGTGAAATGATGACCTTTGAGCCAGAAGTGGCTACTCCATAATGTTTTCTGTAGCAATGGATTGACCTCTTTTCCTATTTTCATTTCACTTTTTACAGCATTTTTGCAGAATTACAGTAAGAACCACAAGAAATGATAGAATACATTCAATAACTTAAATACACCTATACTTGTTATGTGTTTGAGGGAAGTGCAAGAAGGCTGAAATAAACTGCAAATAGTTGTTGGCTTATGCTCCAGTTGTTCTGTCTTCCTTTTATTTATTTATTTATTATTTTGAGAACAATTATGATGATCATTGTTATAAGTATGATTTGTCCCTCGCCTCTAGGGAAGAATAAGAAAGAAGGGGAAAAAAAAATTGCTTGGTGGGGCAAGGCTATCTTATAAAAAAGGCAACAGAAGATTCAAGTACTTAGATCTTTATCATCACTCATTGCCATATGTCTTATGTGTTAAATAGTTGTTCATTGGGTTCTTCAAGAAACAGGGTTTTTCTTTTAGAAAAGAGGGGACAAAAGTTCAGCCAGGATTGTCCATTGTTTTAGCAATAGGTAAAAGTATCGTGGTGATGGATTTTGGTCCCTTGCGCATGTAGCCCAAAGTTTCAGTTCTATGTCATATACAACTCACATCCTCTTTTCCCCTTGTATTGGGTAAACAAACTGATGCATACTATAAGAAGATCAAGAGTATAACTAAAGAAGCAATAAAGTTTTTAAATTGCTTGATTTCAAGCTAAACACACTTGGGACTTACGGTGATTATGTTTTAGCCTTATTAAGTCTTGTTTTACGCTTGTTTTTACATTATCTATAATCTATATCTATGTCGCAGGCAGTTTTTAAGGTTAGGGGTGTTGTGGTAATTTTAGGTTTTCTGGACATGGGCTGTAGGAGTTCATCATGGGTCATGGTATGGAGCAAAGTTATGCATTAGGGTTTTTATTGAAGAGCTTTACTTGATCTTAGATAGTTTTTAGAAATCAAAAATTTAATTAGTTTTCTTTTTGGAAATTGTAATCCTTCTTGGTGAAAGAAGTTTCCCTAGTCTATATGAAGTCATGTAATACTTCTAATTTGATAGAGATAGTTTTGAGAGAATTATTTTCAGTAAATATTCTTCTTTTGAGATTGTATGGTGTAATCAATTGTAGGTGTGATGCCCAAAGGCCTCTAGGAGTGATTCCTAGAGTTTTCTTCTTCTTCTTCTTCTTCCTCTTTATAATTTTCTTGCACTTCTAACCTCTAAAACCACGGAACCAGATCTTTATGAACCCCTATTGAACTTTCAAGCTTGGTATGGTGTCTTCTTGTTACTTCTATAAGTTATTTGGTTGGAGCACAATGCAGGGGTTTTGGGGAACAAATTGAGGACACTGAATCTTTATGGGATAGTTTGTTATGTTTCCTCTTTTTCTGTTTCGGTTTCTGAACCTTTTAAGGGGATTCCATTATTTTTATTTCTAGGGATTGGAGAGCAGTGTGTGATTTGTAGTTTGTAATCTTGTTTTCTTTTTTTTCCAGTTTTTTGGTTGACTTTGGTGGACATCTTTTTTTGTCAAAATGTTAAAGATTGCATTGGATAAAAGGAACAAAGCATCAAGCGACACGGCCATCGACCCAAAGTGGGTCTACTAGCCATGACAGGGGGATGACATCCAGGAATTGATCCCAACCCCACTAATCTCAAACTTAGCCAAAACATGATCGTAACAAACGCAATGTCACAACTTGCCAACCTTTCCCTCAAGTGCATAATATCGTGAATAACCACCCACACCCTATGATCTACCGCAACAGTCATCAATCATCGTAATCATAGCTTGAGCATCACCTTTGACAACAATGGACGAGTAATCCCGTTCTAGAGCCATATGAACCACATTTCTAGTTGCCAATGCTTCCACACCCGTAGCTGAGTGGGCACACTCAACATGAATAGCACAAGCAGCCACAAAACAATCTTCCACACTTCTAAAAACAATTCCCACACCCCTTTTAAGAGAGTCCTTGCAAAAAGCACCATCAAAATTTACCTTCAAGGACCTCAAGGTGGATGAGTCGAAACTACACCCATCACAGCCACCACTTTCTTGTATTCCTTTTTAGTTTTCCTTATTGATAATATTCCCTTTGTTGCTTATCAAAGGAAAAAAACAAAAAAGAACACAAAACCAGCAAAGTTGCTGTTCACAGGTAATTTTCACAGTGCCCAAAACAACTCCAAGCAACCCATAAACATTGTATTTTTGTTCTCCAAATCCTACTCTTTGTTACCTTAACACAAACACCTGTAAAAACTTATATTTTTACCATCTTTCAGCCACGAAAATCAGTTAAAATCAACCTCAAAGCCCACTTTTACTGGTGTAATAGAGTTTTGGGCTTACTGCTTGGAGCAGATTAATGCCATACTCAACCCACATCAATTCGGTGTCAAATCTTAAGCTTTGACCACTACATTCTTACAAAGTGAGAGATCCTATGCGCCACATGCCATATGCCGTAACGTAGAAGTTTTGGCTTTTAAAGGGAGGAACAATCTTCTAGTGTTCTCAATTGGCTTGCTTCAATTGAGAAGTTTTTTTTATTGTAGGATTGGATGGATGATCAAAAAGTAAGATTTGCCAAGATGAAACTTGTAGCTTTGGCACAAATTTGGTGGTATGGTGTTGAAGGAGATTTAAGAAGATTAGAGTTGCCACCAATAAGCTCATGGCAAGAGATAAAAAAGCTAAGCTTCAAGAGAAGTATATGCCTTTAAATTATCATGTAAGGTCATTCGTGCTACTTTTTAATTCAAGACATGACACCATGTTTGAAGAGTATATGCAAGTACTTTGGGCGCTTAATTAACACTCGAAATCAAGTTGTGGAAGACCCCTGTCAAACATATGTAGGATTTAAATTTTGTTTAAGGTCAATTGTGCTAAAGTGACTAAAGATGTGGAAGATCCCACCGCTGGTCTTGATCTTAATATACCCTTAGTGCTTATTATAGATGAAGTAGTCTTATTTACATAGTAGATAGTTTGAAACTAAGAAACTCAAACACTTCTAAGAAGTGGCATATCCACATTAGACATTAACACTCATTGGACACTTCCCGACACCTGTTGGACACTCGTCCAAAACTGTCCTATTTTTTCTTAATTTTTTTTAAACCTTGACACTCTTTGGACATTTGGAGGACATGTGTTCATCGCTTAGACACACATAACACTATAATAAGTTTGAATAAAATAACTTAGGATACAATGATTAAAGAAAAACCATGTAGATTTATGTGAACGATTGTTATGTTGCATTTTTTTTTATTGTATTCGAATAATATATTCTTATTTATAACATTTAACGAATATATAAGACTATATTTTTTATGCTTGTCCTCACGTGTCGTGTTGTGTGTTTGTGTGTGCTTCTTAGGTTTGAAATTTATTCACACTTCCTTTCTTTTTTTATCCTTATTTTTTAAAGGACATTGGCATTTACTTTTTTGGACTCCTCAATTGTTATACAGGTGCATTGATCTTAACATGGCAGCACTGCAATCTAAGATTACTAGATAACGTTAAGACAGTGTACCATATTGTTAGTTGTTATCAATTTGAGGTTTTATTCCATATCTAAATCATTTTTCTTACCCAGGAAAGTGAGAGGGTTGTAACAAAGAAAGAGGGGATAAACTTTGCAAGGGAATATGGATGCCTTTTTATTGAATGCAGTGCAAAAACTCGAGTTAATGTGCAGCAATGCTTTGAAGAGCTTATTTTAAAGGTTTGCAAATTATGGCTTTATTGCTATCATTACTTTTGTATATAAGATCAAGGACTATGTTAGTGCTTGTCCATTCATGTACATGTATTGCCTTAACTTGAGAAACAAAAATACAGTTGTGGACTGTGCATGTAGACCATAGATATGGAACTGTGTTGAACTTGATCACATATCATGGGTGATTAAACATGGTCTACAATGATTACAGTTTTGCTTTACTGCTGTCTATTTCTAGGATTTTTTCAATTTGTATACCATTGTCCATTTTACTGTTGTTTGAGTTTTTGGTCTTTTTTTTTTGGGGGGGGGGGAGCCCAAAGGGCACGACGAGTTCAAAGCAGATACAAGAGTCTAGACCTCTAGGGGCTAACTCTTATATCCACTGCCTTGACCAAGCATGTCTGTCTCGATCTGGCAATTCAATTGAGTGAATCTTAGCAAATGATTTGTTGGACACGTGCCATCTCCATATTCCTTGCTTGGCCTCCAATTATTGCAAATACAAATATAAATAACAAACTCATCCACTTTCACAGATTGAGATTTTGAGGGATTTAGTATTTAGATAAGATATCAGATCCATTCTATTACCCTTATTCTGATAAGCCAACAAGAAGTGGCTGACGTCATTGCCCTAAGTGACTTCTCCTCCCTCTCTGATCTTTGTGAGCCTTGTACTTCATCCATGGTGACCTCCAGTTATTTAAATTATTTTCATTGAAGAACAAAAACCAGAAAGCAGACAAACATCATTATGGTATATTTGAAAAGTTTTGTTTCCAATTTCCTGAAACCAACCTATGAGAAAAGTAAATAACATAGATTTTTGTTCTGGTATTTGTTTGTTATAACTTTGTGAAAAGAAAATTGCTTCCTGAAATCTCCACCAAACGGGTACTTTTTACTTGTATGATTTTGAGTTTTACCGAAAATGATAAAAATGGGCTTTGGAAGTCTTGGCTTAAACAAAATCATGGGATAAGGCTTGTATTGCAGTGAACCCTATTTAGATAGCAGAAATTATGGACCATTACTAGGAATGTGTCGTGCTGTAATGAGGTATGTCAACTTCATTCAAATCTTGGACAAAATAATGAATCGTTTCCTGTAAACCAAACCATCTCAGTTCTGAAAAAAAATCATAAACCAAACCAAACTAAGCCTTGTGTTGTATCCCAATCAAGGGGGGTAGGCTACATGAATTTTTTTTCGCTGCCAGCCTGGTTTATCAAGGGCTATCACCTAGGGGCCAATGCGGCGCCCCTTGACCTTTTTCCAAAATGCCTGAAGGCATGCGCAACACGTCACTTACAGTAATGCCCTAGTGTTTATTTGCATATTCATATTATAGGGTTCATGTTCATAAGGGGTCTGACAAAGATTTTTACATGTTGGTTGTTCCTAACACACATCCCTCCTTTTATCCATCTGGGCTTGGTCTGGCTGAATAAATTTAAAAAATGGCCCTTTCAAACTGGTATAGATATTTTGGTTTGCCTTGAATATAATTTGATGAGGTTGCATTGCAGTTTGTCATTTTGAAGTTCTGATAAGTCATCACAGAAGAGAGGTTTAACTTGAGTTGTAGTCCCTATGAAACTTGAGTTGAATATGCAATTGCCAAGTCAATTTCGTTCTCTCTTTTTTCTGAATTATTTTATTATTATTCTATGACTATGAGACAACATGAATGATGATCTATGCAGATTTTAGATACGCCTAGCCTCTTAGCTGAGGGCTCCAAGGGTGTCAAAAAGAATATCTTCAAGGAGAAGCCACTGCAATCTGATGCAGCAACCAGCAATTGCTGCTGATTTTCTTCCTTGCTATCAAGGTTCTCGCAATTCTCAGTTACAAGCAGTTGTTGCTGATGCCCTTCTACAATCTCAAAGTTTCTAATATTTCCCAGGTTCTAACTCTAGTGTTTGATTCCTCATCACATCCACGAGAAAATATTTTATACCATATTTGTGTAATTTCCACTCTTTTTATCTGTAAACTATTATCTGTACCGTTGAAAATGAATTTTTGAACGTAATGTCAAGACATGAAAGGAATTCTTAATGAAGTTTAGCATTTTGAAGCTCATTTGCTCTGCAATTTGTAGAGAGATGGTGTTTGTGGCTAATTGGAATTCTCAATGAAGTTCTGTATATATATTTTTTTGTGATTTCAGAAAAAAAAAAAAAAAAAAAAAAAAGAAAAAAAAAAAAGAAGAGAAGTTTGAGAAGACTTGATGCACTCTCTAATAATAAACAATAAGAATTGTAAAGAAAAGAAAGGAAAAAATTGAGGCTGGAATCGTGATTCCATCCTCATTTTTTTACCCCCTGTTTGATTATAGTTTTAAAAATATAATTTCAAATCACATTTCAAAACACATTTGAAAACATATTTGGTAACCAAAGAATTTTTAAATTTTTAGGTCTACTCGGTCATCCACTCGGATATTCTCCCAAACAGTTTTTGAATTTTTGAGTCTCCCCGGTCGACCGCCCGGACGTCCGGCTGGTTAACCAAAACAGTGCTTCTTTTTTTTTTTTTTTTTACAATTGCCACCTATTATTCTTTATATTTTAAATAAATAAAAAAAAAAAAAAAATTATATTTGTTTTTGATATTTTTTAAATATAGAAATTATTTTTTTAGAGCAAAATGATAAATTATTTGGCTATTTATTTAAAATTAACAAAAAAAATTAAATAAAAATTAGTTTGTCACAGTAAGTTTTAAAAAATAAAAAAAAACATTTATAAACAAAATAATTAAAAAAAATTCCAATCAAATATACAATCAAAATTAATTAGCTGAATATTTTTTTTAACAAAAAATAATATATATATTTCAATAATTTAAATAAAAAAATATTTTCAGAATTTTTTGAATTTTTTAAATAAAAAAATTATTTTTTTCAATAATTATTATTTTTAATTGAATTTAAAAAAAAAAAGTTTGGTTATGAGCTTTGAATAGAATTTTCAATATAGTTTTAAGTTGTGTATTTAGTTATGAGTTATAAGTTTTTTGAATTAAGTTTAGAAAACTCTTTTCAAAACTCATAACTAAACAACTTTTCTTATTTCAAAACTCATTTCAAAAATTCAAAACTCAATTCAAAACTCTTTTCAAAATGAATTTTTTGTTTTCAAATCATGATTTAACAACTCACAAACTCAAAATACAACTCTATTCTCAAACCATAATTTTAAAATTAAACCAAACGTTTTCCTCCATTTATCATCAGCCATTTAAGTGTCTGTGTTTGGATGATAAACTTTTTTAGAGATTTGCAAAGAGAAAAGAAAAAAAAAACAGAAATGAAGAAAAAAAAAAGGGCTTAAATTTATTCGTATTTCTCTCAATTGTTTTCTCTCTTTTTTTTTAAATCTATCATCCAAACACAATTTGAGTAAGGGTGGCACTAATGCCACACATGGAAAATATGGAGTCACTCATATTTATTGTACAGTAGCTTGAAATGACACTCTTATCCTCATATGACATCAGCTATAATTTGACTACTCATTCTTCACACAATTTTCTTAAACTGCCCCTTTATGTGACTTTTCGTTTGCCTAACTACCTAGAATTTTTATCAATCATTCATTTTTCCGTTCATCTCATTTTAATGTGACAACACAACCATTTAAAATATAAAAAAAAATCAAAACTCATCCAAATTTTTTGAAGTGTCCAACCTTGGTAAAAAATCATGGTATGAAAAATATGTATGGTAATAATATACAAACAGAAGCTTTATATATATTTTTGTATACAAAATAAAATGATTTGTTGTTGTTGTTTTCTTTTTAATTAAAACGTCCACCATTGTTCTCATATGTATGAACTTTTTGTTTGTAAATCACTTTCTAAATATACATTGACAAAGAAAATTTTAAAATTAAAAAAAAAAAAAAATCAATGTTAGGAGATTAACAATACTAGCAAGGAAATTTGTACACCAAAAAAGTATTTTAATAAGTGTTTTGAACATAAATTGTATATATTCAAACTTAATGTGATATGGGTCACACTCAGAATTTATTTGGTTCACATATTTTATTTTTAGAATTTTTTTTTAAAGTAAATAGTATTATTATACTAATAGAAGATAATAATGAAAATTATAAAATGGTGCATTTTAGTCACACATCATATCACTTAGTAAATTAATTCTCTTTTAACATGGTACTTGAAAAACTCATATAAGAAAATCACCATTAAACAAAAAACAAGACCTCAACACTTATTCTCAACGAATCATACCAAAAAGAAAGACTGACTTTTATAACATGTTTAATTCACTTCCATCCAAACTAGATTGACATCCTTATAAACAATCAAAAGCACATCTTAAAAAAGAAATTGCAAAGCTAAAAGATGTAGTCTTGAAATGGTTCGCAAATGTTGATAATTTCTAGTCTCAGAAAAAAAATAAAAACAAAAGACAAAAAACTCTAATAATGTCTTCAAAAGATGTCCAACATTCATCCTTATAAAACACATGCTTGTCCAGTTGTCCTAGTTGCGTAATAAGATACCTACCATTCATCTGCACAAAACAAGAATTATATGTATATAGAAAAGATGATTAAAGAAGGGTGTGCAAAAAATAGATGTATCAAATGACCATCTTGATTATGTGCAACATTAAAAGTAAAATCACCTTGACGAAATTCTTCAAACATTGCTTGTATCATAGTTCGTCTTGCCAAGTTATCCTTGTGAAGTTTAGCCTTCATATTGTATATAGTCTTTGATACCGCTTGAAGCTTCGGATTCCTTTGTCTAAGTGAATAAAGAATTTGGCCCGATGGTATCCCCGATCTAGTCATTTCTTCAATGCTCAAAACTTCTTCTTTGAATAAACAACGACAAGAAGAATGTCCGGACATGTCACTAGAAGGCTTGTGATTATGTGAGCTATTTTTTACTTCAAGCACCCAAAACCCATCACTTTGTCTCTCACTTTGAATTTCAAAGGGACAATTAATAAGGTGAGTAGCCGTTTGCTTTTGTCATGCTCCATATGAACATGCCACTTATTTAACAACCACCTCTATCACAATCAATGGTCACATATCTATCTTTTTTGGAGTTTTTAATAGATATTGCATACCCTTGCATTGAGAAAAATTCTTAAACGGTATCAAGTATCTCATTTTGCCCATTTTCTTCCCTTCCCTGACTTTGTATGTGTTATTCCATCTTGTTCAATTTGATCACTTAACAATATTCATGATTCTTCCTTACAAGATCTACAATATAAAGAAATACACAACCAATTGTCACATGATCATGTTATAAAATTGATTAAAAATAATTCCATAAATAAATAATTAAAAATCAACTATTTACGATATGTTTGGTTTATTATAACGAAATGAAAAAGATAATGATCATCAATATTCATTCCTACGTTCGGTTAACTAAAAAAAATAGAAAATACATTATACAAATGGAATCATCATTTATTATTGAAAGGGAATATTCACTTTATAAGGATGCTAAAGAATGATAATTCCATTTCAATCCACCTTCGTTTCATTGAACCAAACACTACCTTAGAGTTAAAAGGTAAGCTCAAATTAATCTTCTTTTTTTTTTGTAAATTTCATTTTACTGTTAATCATCTCACGAACCCAAAAAAAAATCGTCAATCATGTAAGCCTAAAAATTACATAGTTCATTCGTATATCTTCATAGAAAATTCTAAAACTATAAAATAACTAATAATAAAAAAACTAAATCAATTTTAAATATTTAATTACAAATAGATAGTAGAGTATATATACCTGAGAGGTGAGAGATAGACCAATTTTCTTTGATTCAAAAAATGATTGTCACGTCAAATTGGTATGGAAGGAAAAATGACTGATAGAAATTTTGGATAGTCGGGCAAATAAAAAGTCACACAAAAGGGCAATTTAAAAAAATTGTGTGAAGAATGAGTAGTCAAATTATAGCCGATGTCATATGAGGATAAGAGTTTCATTTCAAGCTACTGCACAATAAATATGCGTGACTCCATACTTTCCATATGTGGCATTAGCGCCACCCTTTTAGTAATCACCATAATGAAGCCATTAGCAAAGTTTTGTGAATTTCTATCTAAATGATATGGCCTATTTTGGGTCAAAAAACTAGGTTTTTTTTTTTGTGTGTGACTTTTTTTAGTTATATTACTTCTCTATTTTTTTTACATATTTAAAAAAAATAAAATCAAAAGACTAACTTTTAACCTACTTTTTAAAATAGGCCAAACTTACCAATAAATTCTTGGCTTTGGCTAAATAAAGTGATTAATTCTAATTATGTGGAATTTTTCATAGTAGATTATGTCATTAAAAAAATATTATGAATTTTTTATAGAAATTTAATATTCAATAATTTTGAAAGTTTAAGGCCTTTTACACATTTTAAAAAAATAAAATCAAAAGACTAACTTTTAACCTACTTTTTAAAATAGGCCAAACTTACCAATAAATTCTTGGCTTTGGCTAAATAAAGTGATTAATTCTAATTATGTGGAATTTTTCATAGTAGATTATGTCATTAAAAAAATATTATGAATTTTTTATAGAAATTTAATATTCAATAATTTTGAAAGTTTAAGGCCTAGTTTGGGAAGATTGAAAAAAGACAAAAAGTCAAAAAGTCACTATCTATTTAAGTCACATCATCTTATTTAAGTCACATCATCTCTCTAATACATCACTTCAAACCCAACCCAAACTCAACCCATATTTCATAAAAAGTCAAAAAGTGTACTTATTTAGTCTTCCCAAACTAGGCCTAAATATATAATACTAGTAATAATACTTTCTCAATTTTAAATTTTCAAAAATTTATATGATAATAATATTACTTTGACACACACATGAACATGGAACAAACAAAAATAAATTATTATTATTATTATTATTATTATTATTTTATTTTTTGCATAAATCCACAAAGAAAAATGCTTGGGAGCACTAATTAGTGCTCCCACTAATTAGGTGGCAGTGGGTCCCAGTGGGTCCCGTTATTAATGATGTGATATTTTGGTCTTGGAGTTGTATTTTTTTTTTATTTTTTTTTTACTTTTTTAATACATTAGTGCTTTTAGTGGTGATGTTTTTAGTGGGATGAATCATTATTGATCCACAAAACCAAATTGACATGAACCAAACAAAAGTTGGTTGCCAAAATTGCCTCCACAAATAGAGAGAGTTGTTTGCATTTTGCCACCCAACACTAAACATGGGTGCATTTACAGTTACAGCACCCATTTGCCATCTTCTTTCTCCCTCCTCCTCCTCACCCCCAAACCCCACCCTAAACCCTAATTCAGAACCCCATATTCCAAACCCTAGAAAAACCCTATTCACAGTGCTGCAACCCATCAATATCTCTAGACCTCCTCCTCCTCCTCCTCCTCCTCCACTGGCAATTCAGAGGAGGCACTTGTTGCTCTTCTCTCTCCCCATTTCCCTTACACTTCATTTCACTTCATCTTCTGCCTTAGCATATTTCGATCCGGTGAGCCCGGCCGAGAGAGACGCCAGCTCCGTGCTCTCCCGGAGAGTCAACGAAGCGGTGGAGTTGCTTGAGAAAGGGAGGGAATTGCAGGCTCAGGGTGATTTTAATCATGCTCTCCACTTCTTCACTCAGGTACTCCACTTGAACTCTGTTTGGTTTCCGAGAAAATCTATTGAGAGAGTATAGGTATAGTTCATGGGTTTGATATTCAAATTTTTGTTTCTTTCTTTTAGCTTGGCTTCTTGACTTCAATTATGCATTTGGGTTTATGAAAAGAATTAATGCAAGCACATACATCGTGTGATTATATCTGTAACTACTAATAAAATTGTAAATTTTGTTTTCATTTTCAGAATATGATTTCTGAATTGTTTTTAAAAAAAAAAATTAAAAATATATATATTTTATTATTTTGACAAAAATAAACACCAAAAAGATATCTTTGAATTTAAAAAAATTATTTTTATCCCCCCCCCCCCCCAACCACACACACACACACACACAAAACATAGATAAAACCATACGAAAATATTTGATTTTTTATTTTTATTTTTTCACTAATTAGTTTTTAGTTTTGTGTTTTTTTTTTTTTTGGTTTTTTCAGAAAACTAATTCTGAAAATCAAACCAAATATATGTCTGGGGAGAACTTAGATTGCGTCTGGATTGAGGAGTTTTAATTTAAATTAATGTAATTGGACTTAATCACTCAAGGAGTACAGTTAGGTTTCAAAATCAATTGTTTTTTACATTTATGTTCCAACAAGATGTATGGGTATATTTGTGAGGATTGTATGAGTGCACTTAATGTTGGGGATCGGGGGCACACCAAGAAATACAAACAAGCAATAACACAAGTGTTTTAACGTGGTTCGGCAATCCGGCCTACGTCCACAAGAGCGATATCACTATATATCAACAAGAGGAGGATTAAACACTCAACTCACACTCTCTGTCTCTCTATATAGCTTATTCTCTCTCACTCTGATAACACACACAGAGTATACACTACTCTTATATATTGCTCTCAGCCTGTCTGTGTATCTTCTTTGTTCTCTCTTCACCATCTCTATTTAAACACTTAAGAGAAGGTGGAGAGGAAAGCTGGCCTTGCACTTGGCCATCTTGTTGCCAGCTTGTTCTTTCTCTTTTGTTGGTTGGAAGCTACCCCACCACGATGTGGGTAGTGGGTTGATGCCACCCTTACCATGTGGCTGCCACCCTTACAATGTGTTGATATCCAACAAATCACCTCCTCAACCCATGTGAGGTGATCCACAATAGCACCCCTGTCTGGAGTGCCCTGCACCCCCTCACTAGGGTGCCATGCAAAACTTACTTTGCAATTCTTTGTGATTGCATCTCTCCCTTCCATGCAGTCTTGGAGAGATCGCAATATGTCTCTAATTCAGGAGCAAAAGAAACTATTTTCTTTCCTAGGACATGCTTTGCTGTCTTGGTCTCTTTGCTCTAAGCTGTTTTTAAAATTGGCTGCAATGGCTCCGTTTTGTGCACCTTCGAGCTACCTCCATGCGTTCTTGTACACTTTGGTTGCCATGTCTGCTAAGCCCTATGTTCCTATGTCTTTTCAGTGCATGTCTTGTACTTCTTGCCCGATAAGTGACAGTAGCTCCTTCTGTCACAACCTTTTCAACAAGCTTGTACAGATTCCACTCTAGTTGTCCATGCAGCATCACTGTATCTCCATGGATAACTTTGAGATTTCCTTTACTAGAAGAGAAGCTGTAACCCTTCAAGTCTAGCATACTTAAGAAAATTAGATTCTTCTTCAGCCTTGGCACATGTCGGACTCAATCCAACGTGAAAATTCTTCCATCTTCCATTCGGAGCCGTACTGTTCCTATGCCAACAATCTTACTCACAGTGTTGTTAGCCATTCGAACAATACCTCCGTCCTTTGCTTGGTAGGTGGAAAAAAGTTTTCTGTCCATGCATATATGGTATGTACTTCCGGAATCTAAAATCCAATCAGGTTTCATCATACTCGATGAAACTGTGAATGCATACTCATCCTTAGCATTTACTGCAGCAGCGACATTTGATGAGCTTGCCTGTTCCTTATTTGCCTTGTCCTCCTTGAGTTTTGCACAGTCTTTGATGAGGTGATCCTCCTGATCACAGTAATAGCACTTTCTCTTGTAGCCTGTCCTTGATTGCGAACGTCCTCTTGATTTGTATCTACTCCGTCTATCATTGGACCTACCTCTGCCTTGCTCATTTTCTGATGCAACCAAGGCATTTCCTTCTAGGTGCTTGCTACTTTCCTTTTTCTTCATCGACTCATGAGAAATGAGCGTAGCAGCCACCTCATCTAGTCCAAGAGCATCCTTCCCGTACAATAGAGTAGTCCTGAGATGCTCATATGATGAAGGTAAAGAGACCAGCAAGATCATAGCCTTATCTTCCTCCTCGGTCTTCACTCCAATAGTGTCCAATTCTATTGTGATCCTGTTGAACTCGTCCAGATGTTCTGTAAGGTTTGCACCTTCTAGCATTTGAAGTGTATGTAGCTGCTTCTTCAAAGATAACCGATTTGTCAAAGACTTTGACTTGTACCTCATTTCTAACTTTGCCCATAGCTCTGTCGGATCTACTTCATTGATGACTTCTCGGATTGTGTTGTTCCCGAGATATAACTGGATTGTACTATTTGCCAATTCTCTCAACTCCTTCCACTTGTCATCTGTCATGTCTGCCGGTTTGTTGGACTTTTTGAGAAGAGTTTTTACCAGACCCTCTCGTGTTAGAATATTTTTCACCCTTTGCTGCCACAAGGTAAAGTCATTATTGCCATTAAAAGGCTCTATCATGAAACTTGCACCTTTTCCTACCATTTTAAAATTCTTTCTTTTTACAGAAACTCTGATTAAAAATTCTGCCCGTACGGATGTGTCCGGAATACTACAAATAGTTGAAAAACACTATTGGATCGTCAAAAACGGACACAAAATGGCTCAGATCAAGCCAAAACAGTTTGGACAGTTCAGATCTGCGGGTGTACCTTAGCCGCGCAGCAGCGGATAACTCTCTGCCCCTATGTTGACTGGTCAACAGGGTGCTGATGTGGGCAGCCACGTGGCACTGACTTCGGCTAACGTGGAAGACACGTGTCGGTGAGCTGGCGCTTACATGTCAGACACGTGGTAGTGAGCTGGCGATGACGTGGCAGACATGTGGCAATGAACTGGCGATGACGTGTCAGACACGTGGCAGCTGCTTGTGGCTGCTGATGTGTCGCTGTCTTTAGCTTTGCCCCAAAAAAAAGACTTGAACTCCAGACCGTGGAATTATAAGCAAGCCTTAACCACTGAGCCAAGCTGACCCTTGTGGTGAAATTTCCGCAGACAAATATTTAAAGTGTTTGGATTAGCTATAGAATGGTCGTCTTCAACCTCTGGCCACGCGTGGGCTTCTGGTTCGAAGTTGACTTTACGCTCCTGACTTTGACCAGAGCGTGGAGGCTACATCGACCTCCGTTTTGTCTGTTCTTTCTGGGTCTGGACTCCTCTCCTCTATGGCTTTCTCCTGGTATGCTCGAAAGTGGATTTCTGACACTTCGAAATCTGAGCACTTTCGGAAAAAACTCGATTTTTCACCACCTGGGCTCTGATACCAATTGTTGGGGATCGGGGGCACACCAAGAAATACAAACAAGCAATAACACAAGAGTTTTAACGTGGTTCGGCAATCCGGCCTACGTCCACGGGAGCGATATCACTATATATCAACAAGAGGAGGATTACACACTCAACTCACACTCTCTGTCTCTCTATATAGCTTATTCTCTCTCACTCTGATAACACACACACACAGTATACACTACTCTTGTATATTGCTCTCAGCTTGTCTGTGTATCTTCTTCGTTCTCTCTTCACCATCTTTATTTAAACACTTAAGAGAAGGTGGAGAGGAAAGCTGGCCTTGCACATGGCCAGCTTGTTGCCAGCTTATTCTTTCTCTTTTGTTGGTTGGAAGCTACCCCACCACGATGTGGGTAGTGGGTTGATGCCACCCTTACCATGTGGCTGCCACCCTTACAATGGGTTGATATCCAACACTTAAAATAAAAACTTAAACAATGTTATTTGAAATAAAAATGCTCTACAAACTAACAAACTTCGATAACGTTTTTTACTCATAAATTTGGTATGCTGTAATGAAACCTTGGTATTTAAAATGGGACCCATTAGAATAATATGATAAGGACAATACAATTGCCACATTTGCGAGTAAGAAAATTTAGTGAGATTTGTTAGTTTGTGTTGCATGACTTTATTTAAAATCCATGCCAAGAATGTTTGCAGTCACACAAGGGAGACTAGTTAAGTGTATCCTCTCTACCTATTTCATTTACTTCTTTAGACTCCGATAAGTGGTCCTCATTTTATTTGTAAATTTAGCGCCTAAATTCCTTCATTTCAATTACATCCATCCATACACTCGATAGTTTGTATGTTACTACTACCATACTATTATGGTAGTGATTCAATGTTGACAGCAAGAACTCTTAACACAGACTCTGCATTGCTACTAGCTTCATATTGCCAACTACTGCAAAATTGTTTTTGACTGATATTTATCTATATCATGGGCCTAAATTTTATCATATTTTGTTTGTCAGGTTTGTCTCCACATTGTTACAACAAAATTCCCTGTAAATTCTTCCAAAGGGCTATTTTCAACTTTATAATGTTGACCCTGACATTTTTAATCATTTCACTGAAGTTTGTAGTTAGAATGATGGTCAACGTGGTAATCAATTTAATTTCCAAGATTTTAGGGACCATTTTTTCACAGCTTGTGTGTGGCAATATTAGAGGTCAAGAAAGTTCGTGGTTCATTTATACCTCTAAGATTTTAGGGACTGTGAGAAAGAGAAAGAAGAGACAAGACAGAATAGGGAGGTGCAATGTGTGTAATGTCATTTTTAGCCTCTCATTCAAAATATGATGGAGAAAGGAGAGAATAAAAGAGAAGACAGGGAGACCGCCATGTCTCTTAAATTTAAGAGAGAAGAGTTGCAAATAAACGTGTGTGAGAGAGAGAGAGAGAGAGAGATAAAATTTCTTCGAAATGTATTATGAGAAACAAAATTAATTCATCTCTAGGGTAATGCAGCTGCCTCTCCATGCCCCTTAAATTTAAGAGAGAAGAGATGTAGATAAATGAGATAGAGAGATCTTTGAAATGTATTATGAGAAAATAATAATAATAATAATTGTTCATCTCTAGGGTCAATCATGTTGTATGCCAACAAAGTCTATTTGCAGGCTTCATAAGATCTTAAAAGGATTTTAGAACTGCCTAGAACTCATCCTGCCTCGTATTATCTTTGAATTAAATATTTAGAGACATGACATATAATAATTGTTTCTTATATAATTTACATGTGTGCCCATGGGTTGTGTCCTGCATTTTTTTGAAAATTTCCATGTCGATGTTCGGTGTTCGTGTCGTGTTTTGTGTCTGTGCTTATAAATCTCTCGTTTCTGTGCTTATAAATGATTGCTAGGCTTTATGGCAGCCAAAGAATTTGGTATCAGCAGTATTTTACATAGTCATTGCAGCAGCCCCGTTGCCACACCTTACTTCTGCTAAGTTGCTCGTTTTAACTGTTTTTCCATGACGTTTAAGATTCTATTACCAAGCTATTATAGCATCTACCTGGCTTGTAAATTGTAATTTAACCCCTCACCTTATCCCAGGATAAGTTCATGGTGATTCTGGCTATGAAGGTGTGTTAAACAGAATGCTACTAGTTATTGTTACTTTTCCTTTAAGATGGCAAGATTGTGTAATAAAAAGATTACTTAATCAGAAACTTTACCTGTTGGATCTAGAAATTATCCCATTCATCAATTGATCTTAGAGTGATATCTTATGCCCAGCATCAGATATTAGGCCTGAGTGGTATCTCCTGCCACTTCCATAGTTCATGTCCAGTGGGAGTATGTCTTACATTATATGCATGCATGCACACACCAAAGAAAAAACATGTGCACGTGCTTGCACAAGAATGTCAAAACTATTGGATAGCTTGATATATTTTGTTGGTCCCACTTCCTAACAACTTAAGCTTTTGGGCAAATTAGTGATTTAACATGGTATCAGATCTTAGGCTGAGAGAAGTTTTGGGTTCAAGTCTTTCCGTTGGCATTTGGTATTTTGTCCCTGTTTGGTTTCTTCTTCCCTATTTGGTTGTTTGCTTCTCTTTTCGTTTGGTTCTCTGTTTATCTCTCCACGTGCAAGATGGGATTGCATGTGAGGGAGGGTGTTGGATAGCTTGATATACATTGTTGGGCCCATTTCCTAGTGCCTTAAGCTTTAGGGGAAATTGGTGACTTAACATTGATGGATATACATCCAGGGAGGTATGCGTTGAGGATACTTTACTTTTGTCTTTTTGCTATGGTGGATCACTAACCCTGTCTCTTTGTGTTTGTTTCATTTCTAAAAGTACTTTTGTTTTCTACTTAAACTCAAAACTGGCTTTACAATAACTAAACTGTCAATTTTGTTTTTTCTTCAATAAGTGGACCTCTGTATATTTTTAAATTGTGGGCATTTATCCAGGTGTCAAAATAATCCAGTCTCCAATTATGATAGTAAGAGTAGCCTGCATAAATTGTCAGTGAACTATTTTTCTCCCATTAGGATAGTGTGTGGTCAAAGAACAACATAAGAAAGCATAGGTGGTTTTTTAGTCTGCATAAAAAATGTGTGTATGTAACCTGTATAAATACTTCAAATTCCTTGTAAATAGCATTTTTATGAGAGAATCCTCACTGCTTGATTACATATTTTCTCTTTATGGTTCAGTGCACTTTTCTGTGTTTCTCTCAATTGCAAGAACTTCCAGACGGCATCATTTTTCTGCTTCCATTTCATGTAGTCTTCCCAATTGTTCTTGCTAACTTATATTGACAAATCCAGGTGGAGAATTTATCAGCAACACTTTCAAGTCACCATCACATAAAACACCTTCAGAACTTTGGCAAAAACTTTCAATTAATTTATGTTTGAACATCCCCAATGCTTTACAAGTCTGAAATTTTGCTGCTTTTATAACTTTGCATTTCCCCTGCACTATATGATAAACATCAAGTAGGCTTGGCACATTGACTAGGAAAGCACGTCTTCAACTCATTGATCTTTTATGTTTAACCTATGTCATCTTCAGCTGTATGGTTATGTAGTCACGTGTGACAAATTGTTTTCAGGTTCTCGGAAATGTGCAACTCTTCATCCACCATCGATGGTGCTCTTGGTTTTATGTATTATTCCACATTAGGAATGAGCATACTCGATCTTGAGAACTGTAGCCTTTTTGCTAAAGATAACAATCTGAAAAAATATTTAACAATATGATTAAATCAAGAAAATTTAGCTCAATTATATATCAGAATGCTCCTTTCCATAGTAGATTGACAACATGTTTGAATGATAACAATCTGGAAAAATATTTAACAATATGATCAAATCAAGAAAATTTAGCTCAATTATATATCAGAATGCTCTTTTCCATGGTAGATTGACGACATGTTTGAATGAGCTACAGTCATCAATAGATTAATAGAGGTAAATATATTTACGTTAACATATTTATGCTATCTGAGTAAACTGCTGTGGCCAACATAGTTATGCTATCAACAAAGATTGAACAAATATGTGGCTGTAGATTCTATAAAATTTATATGCCATTATGTGGATACATATATATATATATTGTTGGATGGCTAGCCCTCGAAAGGTCTGGAAAATTCAATGCCTAATTAAAAGAGTTCTTTACTTAACTGATGATTTTATTTGGAAATTTGTGTTATAATTTCTACAATTGACATGACCTATTCCCAATTACAGGTTACTGAAAATTACAAAGATTTGGCACTCTCAGATTATGCACGAGTAGGAAGAGCATTAGCCTTGTATGAGGTTGGCGACAGAGAAGAAGCAATCACAGAAATGGAAGATGTTTCCATATCTTTGAAAGGATATCCGGGTACCTTCATGAATCTTGAAAGTTTATTTTCTTCAGTCTGTTGCATTTTCAGGTGTTTGGTATAACGGAAACAAAAATCAACAAAAAATGTTTTATGTGGTTAATGGAAAACAAGTCTATTTGGGCGGAAAATGTGTTCCACTTCTATAAGGTTGAAAATGCTTTCCGAACTAAAGTCTTCTTCTTACCAATGCCACTACACTACCACTAATGCAAGCACTAGCACATTAGTTTCAAGGATGCAGCCAAACATTGGACTATGTTTTTACCCAGAAAACTTTTCTGTTGGAAAATATTTTTTGCCAAACCAAATGGAACGTTTGTCCCTTTCTCCCGATGCCATGACCACGAAGTTAGGATAGTTCTTGCCAGTTTTTTTTAATAAATAAAAAAAATATGACAGTCTCATTTCCCCAAAATAAGCTAGCCTCATTTCCGTTCCCCCCCCCCAAAAAAAAAAAAAAAAAAAAAAAAAAAATCTGTTGGATGTAATTTGTTTATCCTCTAATAGCGCCATCCCATTGGGCTTTCTTGCAGAAGTGCATGCAGCTCTAGCCGCAGCCTTATACGTGGATAAGCATGCTGCCCTGCTTGCTGAGAACCAGTTCACAATCGCAACTCTTCTTGATCCTCACTATACAGACATATCTTATGTCAAAGAAACTAAGCATTGGCCTCCAAGTTTGGTTAGTTCCTTGCAACATTTTATCACGCTTTCCTAGTGCTTTGTAAATATTTACATGTTACCCATTTGATTTACTATTTACATTGGTAAGACAATGTAAATGTTATATTGGCCTCGTTTGGAAAGTGGCTATTTTAGTAGGCTATTTTAGTTTTTGGCTATTTTAAGTAGGCTAAAATTTTTGTGTTTGGGAAGATGATTGGATTTTTTTGTGGTTGGATGTGATGTTTGTGAGAGAAAAAGTGAAATGATTATGGGTTTGATGTGATATTTTGTCTTATTAGCTATTTTAGCCTATTTTGTCTTTTTGTGATTTTTAGCCTAAATTTGGCTATTTTTTTTCTTCCCAAACACCCCTAATATTGTAGTGAAATTGTATATATACAGAGTTTGATTATATCTTTCCATCTTTTTTGGTACATGTATCTTTCCATTGTCAGCTATCCATCATCTCATTCTTGTTGAGCTAAGAGCATCTCCAATAGTAGTAGGCATTTTACCTATCTAAATATTACTATAAAGTATACATTTTATTTTGCCTATCAACGATTTCATGTTTCTGCCCCAACCATGCTCTTAACTAAGCATTGGCCTCCAAGTTTGGTTAGTTCCTTGCAACATTTTATCACGCTTTCCTAGTGCTTTGTAAATATTTACATGTTACCAATTTGATTTACTATTTACATTGGTAAGACAATGTAAATGTTATATTGTTTCGATATGTTATTGTAGTGAAATTGTATATATACACAGGTTGATTATATCTTTCCATCTTTTTTGGTACATGTATCTTTCCATTGTCAGCTGTCCATCATCTCATTCTTGTTGAGCTAAGTAGGCATTTATTCTGCTAAAATCATTTCATTGGAGAAGTGAGGACTCTTTATTTATTTATTTATTTTCTCGTTATTTTTAGCTGTTAGCAATGTTGACAACCACGTGGTTTACAAATTTATTTATTTTCTCATTATTTTTAGCTGTTAGCAATGTTGACAACCACGTGGTTTACAATTTGGCAGGAGCTTTTGAAATTTGTTTTTTAGTTCAACCATGAATAACACTTGAAAGCATAGTTGTCGGATCAAAAAATTTTGTGAATCATGAATCGAATTTAGAATCGTTAAGATTGAATATAAATTATATAAAAAAAAAATATGATGTTAAACAATTGTATGTATTAAATTTTTTTTTGATAAAACACATTATAAAATAGTTTTAAGGCAAATTTCACGTTACCCTTGTGATTTGAGCCATGTGTGATTTACTCTCTAATATTGGAAAACGATCACATAACCTCAATGTGAAACAAGTATAAAACACATAATAGACATAAGGGGATTATATATTCATTTTCAAATTTTAAGGGGGTAAATCTCATATGGAATAAAGCACAAGGATTAAAGTGCATTTTGTTTTTCAAACATATGACAAAAATATCCGTAGTTCACACTTGAGTTATTTATATACATGGGTATTTATTCTTTTTCATTAAACCATTAATGGGTTTATCAGTGCATATCAATCCACAAACCGTGTGGGGGTCATGTGGTTATTTTCAAACGTTAGAGAGGTAAATTGCTTATGGTCCAAACCACTGGGGTAGAGTGAACTTTGCCCTAGTTTTTATACAAGGATATGATTCCACCATCTAATTGAAAAGACATTGCCTTAACCGTAAAAGATGTGAGCCAAAATCTCATCAATCATAAAATTATTTAATAAGCATAATATAATCTCTATTGGTATCCAAAAAATTGGGTTTAGGAAGCCTATATAGGGTATAATAAGAAAAATGAAATAAGTATAATCCTTTGTTTTAAAACATAAACCACTTTAAAAGCTTTGAACGCTTGTTGTTCAAAAAACAGTTCAAAAAATTAATAATTGTATAAGTGTTGGGTTTGACTGACATGGTCATGTAATATTGAATCAGATTTATTTCACTAAAATAAGAATAGATAATTTGTGAGTTCAAGTTATTTTAACCTTAATAAGATGTATTATGACATTTGTTTGGGGAAAAGGTTAAAGAACATATGGGGTGATCACCTAAACAACAAAAAAATCATGTATAGGTAGTAGTTATTTTCATACTAAACACTCTTAAAAGTTAACAGTACGTCAGTCTTTTTTATTAAAAATAGTATGTCAATTTTTTTTTATTAAAATATAAAAAAGGGTCAGAATTTGTTGGACACAATAGTTTTGAGAGTTGCATGAATTATAAAAAATGAATCAAATTGTGAATCAATTACGAATTATGCAATTCACCATAGATTCTATCTCGAAATAAATTCACTCATAAATTCGTATCAATTAATGCATTAATCGCTAATTAAATTTTAGATTGAATAGTGAATTGTAAGATTTTAATAAAAGAATTTATAAGTAGTTTGTATTTTCTTCTCTGGTTTTCTGGAACTCCATTAGGTGCCCATATTTTATGCACCAGTTGCTCTCTTTGTTTTTGCATCTTGTTTATGATGTTGAAAATTTATTTTTTTGTTGAATATAAACAGTCTAATGTGCCATTGGTCTCACAACCAAACTTTTACCATCAAAACCGCCGACTTTACAGGGCCCTAGTTGTAACTGGGTGCTCTTTCTTTTTCAACCTTATTTTAGGTGTTCATATTCTTGCTGTCTTTTGTTAAAATTGTTACCATTTCATATTGATTAACAAAGGTCGTAACCATATGCATGTAAGTTTTTCAAGTACTATTTTCTTACAAACCATTTTTAAAGGTGAGTTCTATCAAAGGAGTTCGTATAATTTAGTATCAGAAGTAGCTATCATGTCAAGTATAGGATAGGATGAGTTCTACTCAAGGAGTTCGTATAATTTAGTATTAGAAGTAGCTACAATATTTAGTATAGGATTGGATGCACCTATGCGACTATGGAATCGTATGGGTGTGGCTTTGCAATTTGAGCCCCAAGGGGGCAATCGTTAGAAGGAAAAGAACTACCATCAGATTAGTATCGATGGAATACGACCGCCATTTACATTTAGAATAATCACATTTCTATTAATTGAATTTGCTACTAGAGCAACTAAATTATGTATTCTTTTTTTTCCACTTTTTCTTTTCACAACTAAAATTACAATGCTCTTGTGCTTGAGCAATGTGGCTTGGAGTGTGGATTGTACCACGTATGAGAACAACTACTTCTACAATAATTTCCTTTTAAGAATTAAACATCCTATAAAATAAAAATAAATTAATTTTAAATTGATAGTGTAAAAATGCCTTTCTTAGAAAATTATGACTCATTGTTTTGACATTGTTCTTTACTCTTAAATTTTAGTTCATTATATATGTGTATTTATATATTCCTCCTAAGAAAACCTCTAATGTGAAAAGTAAGAAAAGATTTTGGGATTGCATTGGATTGTTATACTTATCGTTTCAATTTATCCTTTTGAAATGAAAGTATTTTTGCAAAATTGTATTACTTAAAAATATTAATACCTTAACGAATTACGTATTGGTACATACGTTTCGAAACATGCTACATTTTCCTTCTAAAACGGTAAATTTAGTGATCCGAAGCGATCCTATGATTTTTTCCAATATATTTCCTTAAAATGTTGCGTTAGGAGGAAAAAAAATCAAATATAATAAATTAAAATTTAAGGTAAATACATTTTAGATCATGTGACATATCATGTTTCTATTCCCGTTCCCATTCTCATTCCCCTTCCACATACCAAAACAATCCACATTCCAAGTAAATATAATTCCAAAACATAAATCATTAAAGAATTAGCATGTTTTCTAGTAACATTGTGCTTGATGTTACTCAACAATTGAGTCCTAAATGAAATATTCATGGCAATATCAATGTCAGAAAATGCTATAGACCCCAAATAAATTATCAAATTTTCTATCAAACCTCTTACATAGGTGTGGGACCCACACACACATGATTAATGTGGATCTCACGCCCATGTGAGAGGTTTGGTAAAAAATTTAATAATTTATTTGGGGTGCTAACGTAACTCTTATCAATTTCTTTATAACAAGAACTCACATATTTTTTAAAATATCTATAATTACTTAAGTTATATTTGGATCTAAAATTTGCAAAGATTAAAATAAAAATAAAAAATCTACTTCATTCATTTTCTTTTTCTTTCCTTTCCTTTTCTTTTTTTTTTTTTTTTCTCCTTTGTGAGACCAAAATTCAAACACATAATTAGTAATGGTCTTAACCCCAAGGGGGTTAGCTTGGTGATAAGACCTTGGGTCTAAGAGGTATGCTCTTTCCAAAGTTCAATTATCGAAATCTCTTTATGTGTTAACAATTCCTTAGAACCATCGAACTGGAAGAAAATCTTTAAATTAATCATGGTGAACTTGTGAGAAACTCTTTGCGAAGGGCATGTGCACCACTGGGACTTACTCGGGCTTTGATCCGTACACATCATGTGCCAATAATAAAAAAAAAAAATTAGTGATGGTCTTATTGATTATAGTATGAAAAGGTGTAAGGTTTGACTCTATTTGCACGAAATAGGACCTTAGATTATTGCAGGATGGAGTTATTTTAAACCGAGTGTATACACTTTTATTTACAAGTCTAATTCTACTTAGCTATCTTTTGTTTTCCACAAATATTGACTAATGGAGCTGTTTGGAATGCCAGAAAATGAGGGAATTGGGTCCCCAATTTAGACCATTGTCCCATAGCTATTTGCGGGATTTATGTGAAAGCTTCATACTACATGGATTGCCCCCCTCCAAAACAAAATGTGAAATCTTGGATTTCTTTATTTAACTCTCTTATTTGCCACCAAAAGAGCGATTCGCTTCATAATTAAAAAAGAAATTATTTTGTGCTTGTTCACACAGGACCCACTCTTAAATGCAGGAAACGACACAATCATGTGACTCCTTAGACTGTTGGACCATTGTCTCAGGAGCACACAATAGTTTTTTGTCACCGAAAATGTGGACCACTGTTGTGGCATGGGCGTGTTTAGCTTTAACCTTTTTTTGTTGTTGACAAAGGCAAACAGAAAAATTAGTATCTCGACTCCAATGGTCCCTTGTGGGACCTATTTGAACAAAAAGGTTAGGATCCTTTGCAATTAAGTTTGGCACGCCTGAAATTTTTCTGGTATTAGTATGAAACAGTGTGCCACTATACCAAACACCTAAACTGGTACTAGGG